TCGCTGGGTAGGTCCCTCCCCCCCCCTGCCTCTCCGGTTTCCCCCTCTGCAAAAGGGATGAGGCCGCTTCCCTCTTTTGTAAACTAGCTGACATCTATTGCTGGAAAAAAGGCTGTTAAGAAGCCATGTGTTGTTAGAGCTTGGTTTCTGCTTTACGTTGCTGAAGGGTTTTAATTGCTTGCCTGTCTGCATTAGTGTTTTTACTGTGCTATGAGGTAATAGCTGGAGTAGGACAGAGAAGGGGGCCTTCTTGTACAAGATAGCACTGGGGCTGGAAATATGTGTGGCGAAGTGGAAATCAGAGTTGGGGGTGCCTGCGTTGATGTGTGTTAATGTAGCTTTAGAAACAATTAATTACAAAGGAATAAGCTCTGAGCCGGCGCCGTGCTCAGCGCAGCCGCCCCTCACCGGAGCGCGGGTCCCTCCCGGCTCCCTGCGGAGCCGGCGGCTCCATCCCAGGGTGTCCCCGTGGTTTATGGCCGCGGGGCGATAGCCCGACGGCGCCGGCTGCGGTAACGCGGAGCCGTGGACGTTGGCTCTGCCCGTGCGTGTCCCCTTGCAGCTGGGAGCTGGCGGATCTCAAAGGGCTTTTCCAACCGTCGGGATTCTGTTCTGTGGAAGTGACTTCAATGCAACAAAGCATTTCAGTGGGGCCAAATCCTCCCTGCCCTTGTCCTCCTTCCCCTGCAGGCAAGAGCCTTCCTCGTCACCTCTCCTTGCAGTCTTCCTCAGCGCTCAGCAGTCCCAAGGCGGCTGATGCTCTTGGGTGGTGGAGAGCAGCGGGACACTGGGACACGGTGGCACCAGGACGCGGTGGCACCGGGACACCGAGTCCTGCAGTGCAGGAGGCTCCTCCTGCACCGTGCTGACCCCCTGCCCACCTGCCCTGCTCCTGCTCGTGCTGTTGACTCGCGCCCGATAAAAATCTGATTATAAAACGCTCTGCGGGATGGGGGAGGGAGAGGGGCCGGCTTTGCACGAGGCCAGCAGTGATTAAAAGCTATTTCTGGGAAAGAGAGAGCTGTTGGCACTCTCTGTCATTCCAAACATATTTAAAAGCTGAAATATTTGCATTGTTCGTGTTGTTGCACTGTGCAAACACTTCTGGCCGGGTTTGTGTCTTTCCCTGCCTTCCCCTCCCTCCTTCCTTAGGAGACGATTTGCAAAGAGCAGGCAGGGGACACGTGTGTGTCCCACCCCTGGCTCCTGAAACCCAGGTGACCCCCCGGGTAGGGACAGGGGTTGGTGTCGTTGCGCACTGCGGAGCGGCCGTGTCTGCTCGGCCG